GCTTAGTGCTGAATTTGAAATGAAGGACCTTGGGCATGCTAAAAGGATTTTAGGGATGGATATTAAAAGGAATAGGTCCTAGCAGTTATTAATGTTGTCACAAACTGAAAGGTCCTATCCAAGTTTGCTATGCATGATTCTAAATCTGTGACATTACCCCTACCATGTCATTTTAAGTTGAGTAAAGATCAGTCTCCGCATGATGAATCTGACATTAAATATATGGAAAAAGTGCCATATTCAAATGCTGTTGGATCTGTAATGTACACCATGGTTTGTACACGACCCGATGTTGCACATGCTATAAGTACTTAAGTAGATTTATGTCTAACCCTGGCCTTGAACATTGGAATGCAGTGAAATGGTTATTAAGGTACTTGAAAGGCTCAGAAGACTTAGGCTTATGTTTTAGATCTAGTAAAGAGGGAGTTAATTTAAAGGGATACGTAGACTCTGACTATGCCGGCGATAGAGATAACAGGAAATCAACCACTGTTTATGTGTTTACTTTGTGTGATACTTGTATAAGTTGGAAGTCTCAATTGCAATCAATTGTAGCCTTATCAACTATTGAGGCAGAATATGTGGCTGCAACTGAGGCCATTAAAGAGGCCTTATGGTTGAAAGGTCTTCTAAGTGAGGTAAAAGAATCTGTTGATCCTGTTGTTGTATACTCTGATAGTCAAAGTGCTATACATTTATGTAAAAATTTAGTTTTTCATGAAAGAACTAAACACATAGATGTGAGAATGCATTTTATTAGAGATATTGTGGAAACAGAATCTATTTTGCTTGAGAAAATCCCTACTCAGTTTAACCCCGCTGATATGGGTACTAAGGTACTTCCTCTAAATAAGTTTAAGTCATGTTTGCAACTCTTAAGAATTGATATTGGGTAAAGTTGTGTTTGTGCAGGTGTAGTTGGCTTGGTGCTGATATCTGGGAAGAATTATACCAATTGCTTGAAAGGTCTTTTGTTATATTTTTTTTTCTTTGTCTTTGTGAGTTTGGATCATTAGCATCAAGGAGGATATTTATTGGGCAGTGATGCCATATAAATATTTGTGTGTCTAGCCCATTTGGGCAATGATGATATTAAAAGGTCCAACAGATACTACCCAGCCCATTGCCCAATAATTCAATGTTGAAAGCAACTGAAACCCGACCCAAACCAGTAACCCACGTGTGTTGCTCTGGACCCTTTGATCTACTTAACCTAACATCTACGGTGATGACCCATTAATATATAAACGGGGTCTGAGTCTTTTGACCCTAATTTGAGTCATATTTTCTCTGCCTCTTCGTGATATTTTCTCTCGAACCTTTTGGATTTCTCTCTTCGTAACTCTGTGTCTTCTGCCTCTTCTCCTTCTTCGTGAATCTTGTGATTTAGCCACTAAACCTCTGGTTTTCTAGCCACTATGTGTGCTTCTAGTCTGTGTGACTGTTCGGTTGTGATTTATGGAGAGTTTCTCGTTTGTGTTTGAGTGATTTGCGTACATTGTAGCGACTGCTTCTGTGTTTATCGTTTGGGACTGTGGTTTATGAGTTTTCACATTGTACAAACGGGTACAATATGTGATCTGAGCCCGAATCGATGAAAATCTTGATGCCTTTGGTCTGAGAGTTTTCGGTCATTTGTTGAGTCGATTTTTGGGTCTTTTCTTGTATCACCAACTAACATATAATTTGGTCATAACTAGCACATGGACATTTGATTTATGAATATGTTAAACTATATGTGTAATATAAAGAAATGAAGTCGTGAATGGTATTATAGACGAAGGTCAACAGCGATAGAGGTTAGTAAAGATTCAAATACAATGGAAAACAATACTATTTACATTATAATTCACTTCCACGTGATTAAATAAAGGAAAAATTGTAGCAATGGTCCTTAACCTTTTACTTTTTTTATAAACTTTACCCTTACCTTCAATTTGTGCTAATGAAAATTCCTAATCTTTCAAAAACACACAGTAGACATCCAAGTGGACCATTTTCATCCGTTGAA